AGCAAGAATGCTGTGCTGATAAAAGTAAGAAATGTCTTCAGTCCCATCAAAGGTATGAAAATCCCAGAAGCCATCAGTACTCAAGCCAGCAAAAAACTGGCCATTTTTTACATCTGGTCTTCCTGCTCTCCAGTGCGTATATGACAGCATGGTCTTATCAGACCACATAAGAGAATTACCTAGAGAAGAAACGTTTTTTCTACACTTAGAGATTAATTCAAAACTTGAATTATAGTTACGAAGTTAATATTTCAAACAAATCTTTTCTTTCTTCTTTCCCCACCTCCTAAAAGGTTGTATGATTATCTGTATCCCTCTAAAATATTTTCTGATTATAATAGTAAATTATGCTTATTTTTAATTTGGAAAGGACAAATTATAAAACATGAAAATTAAAATTTGCTTAAAATTCCAATTCTGTAATAATTTTACATTTTATCTTTTATCAAATATTCACTTCTCCTAAATATACCTTTAATTGTAATGAAAATGAATGTAACCATGTTATAAAAAATAATATATTATAAAACTAGTCTCTTCTCTGGACCTAAACCATGCACAATTGTGCACATTTATGTCAACTGATTTTTGACAAGGGTGCCTAGACAATTCAATGGTGAAAGAATAGTTCCTGGGAGGACAGGGTATCTATCTACATGTAAAAAAAATGAAGGTGGACCCTTTACTTTTATCACATACAAAATTAACTCAAAATAGATCATAGACCTAAATGTAAGAGCCAAATCTATAAAACTGTTAGGAGAAAACATAGGAGTACATCTTCATGACCCTTCTTATATATATACAATTGATAATACAATTCTCTGACTATACCGAAAGACATTAATTATTCACCTTAAATGACTGAATTGTATGATATGTGGCTATATTTCGATAAAGGTTTTGGAAAAACAAGTTACTAGGTCTATTAAAATTATGAATTGGTATGAAGAGTGATGTCATTATTACCTACACATAGCGCTTGTTATCCTGGTTATTTCTACCTTTCACTAACTGCCATCTCCTACAGCATCATACCTAACATCTGCCTTCAGCAGTAACACACCAGAAATACTGAACATATGATTCGGTTCTTGCTTGCTGCTTTATATCACCTCATGTCTCTCAGTCCCTGTTTTCCTCTCCCCAAATGTTAAAGTTATAATTTTCTGGGTAATATGATAGACGATGGTATATTTCTGAAGTTGCTATACAAAAGGGTCACTTTTTCACTTGTCTTGAAGTATATTTCAGTTGACACGTGGTTTCTCTTAGCAATTTCTATGCATGGCCTTACTTTTGAAAAGTCAGAACTTTTTAAAAAACAAATCCTTAATCTCTGGATGTAAATTAAGCCAGTAAGAATTAAATTTAAATAAAATTTCTTGTTTGCTTAAAACATTTTTCTACAGGTTGCTCATATGTCTCTCTCTATATATTTAATAGAAATATTGTCACTCAGATATTTTATTAAAAAACAAGATGATTAAAAGAAAGCCTACAGATCTGAGAATGCTTTTCAGAATACAGAATACATTTTCAGTTGTTTCTGATAATATAATTAACAAAGTACATCAGAGGGTACGATTGAAATTTCTTAACTAAGCCCCCGGGTGTGGCTTGAACTGCTAGGAAGGAGTAGAGAAGGGAAATTATTTTCCATCATTTAACTCTAGGCTTGGTGGTAAAGGCATTTCAATGGCAGAGCAGAGACACAAAAGACATAGATAGCATAACTTGGTATTTATGTAAGTTATGTTAAGTGCATAATTATAATTTTATATATTGATAAAGATATACTTTGAAGAACTATACTTTTATAGCTTGATAAGCAAGTAATTTATAACGAAGTCTGAATGTAAATACAGAAAATCAGCAGATTTACAACTTACTTTCATAAGTTAGGCCTAATAAGACCCATGAAGCCACATAATTGAGGTGCAGAAGTTGCTCAAGAACAAAGTTATTCTCTTTTTCATCTCGAATACTCAGAATATGTGATTTTGAATCTGTTAAATAAAAAGTAGTCAATAATTTAAATAATTACTTATCTAGAACATTATTTTGTTTGACGGATTTAGAAAATTTTATTTCCCAGTTTAATATACACCCAAGCCTGAATGATAGCAGAAAATAAGAAAAATATGTCAATTAAAACTACCTTGTTGTACTAAAATGATTAGGTTAAGAAGTTTTTAAATATTTTGATGTTAAATTGGTCTTATAGAATAGTGACAAACTAGTAGATGAGTAGAGAATTTAAAACATTGATTCACTTCACCTTTCCCCATTTAAAGCTTACTTTGAGTTGATACAAACCCACCTATATTAATGACACATTGTCAAAGACTATAATAAATAAAAGCTCTTAAATGGGCTATAAGATAGATTTTCCTCTTTCTTAGAGATCATATTTATATCAGAGTTAAAAAAGTTTGGTATTTTCCAAAGCGTTCCTGAGGAAATTAACAGGAGTTCCTCAGAAAAGGACTTCATGGATAAGAGCAGTATTCTACATAGTACTTTGGGGAATAATGGTTTGACATTTTCCATAACAACTTTCCAGAAAGTTCATAGGTCCAGTGTTCAGAAGTTATAAATCCTCAGTGGATCTCATAGGAAATATCTGAAGAGTTTTGAGAGCCGGAAGTGTGAAATATGTATTTCTTTTAAGCAGAACTGTTTCTTTGTGGCTTTTCCAAGCTTTCACCACTCAAACTAACCTATTTTCATGTTGCTCGCAGCCTAGTTTGATTTAATATCCAGTACTCTGCTCTCTAGTGTCATTTCTCTTCCTTTTAAAGCAGAACCCATTTTGTTTATTCTTGTAAAGACAGACTATTCTCTAATGGATGGGCAAAGAAAGAAGTAAATCTTATACGTTCCATTTTTAACTAAACACAAATTTTAATACACTGTCATTGATAATGTAGATATTAGGAGATGAGTATTTTTGAGATCTAGTTACAAGTGCTAAGTAGAAATATTTATAACACACTCAGGTGAGATTTTTAAAAAATGAGTATAATGTAATATACAATGACCTTATAATATACTTACTCAATTTCTGGCATCTCGAATGAACATCACCTTGTGTTCTCTCCATATACATATTCTTTGTTATCATGAAATTGTAGCAATAGTTCTGAAATGGTATCCATGGAGTATTTAAAACAGGAGATGGACATCGAACACTATTAACTGGTTTGACCTCTCTTTCAGTCTCATCTAGAAAAAGAATTAATGGTATAAATTCTCATTTTAGATAAAAATGTTAAATTCTGTTCATAATAATTAAATTTGATTTGTAGGAAATATTCAGGAAGCCAAGAAATAATAGCCTGGTGATGCTCGTCCCGCTTCTACTGAAATATAACATGACCTCTTAAAAGGTTTTTCTGTAGTAAAGAAATTATTTAACACAGTAATTTTCTTTCCCATGCTGTGGAATGGAAGAATGTTAAAAAAACGAGGTGCTATTAGGTTAAAAGTAGTTTCTGTCTTCCTGCATCTCCAAACTTCAAATACAAGAGGCCACTTCAGAGAAACTATACATATTAATAATAGGCATCTACTATAATACTGAGAATTCATCTTCAAGTTTCTGGTTTCTGAAATCTTCTCTAATTAAAAAAAAAAGGAAACACTGAAATGAAATATTTGCTGTTATAAATAAGTTATGGCTTTAACCAAAGTAAACAGAAATAGTTTAAAATCTGAAATTAAAAAAATTCGATTACGGCTTTTTTTTTCATTTCGTGAAAAGGCCACATTCAAGAAGCTGCAACTATAGATATGCTCTACTCAAAAACAATCAAACTGTTTTAGTATGTGGTAGGGACCATTCAGAGTCTCTCTCAGGTCACAACTACTCCCTTTGTCTCAGAAGTTGTATCTTTTTTTTT